AAATTTATGATTTAAAATTTTAGGATTTAAATTTGGACTACAATTTAATATTTAATATCTTTTTGATCAATCAATTTAAGGCTATAATATTTTTAGGTGGCATTTTAATTTTACTCTCTTTTTTAGGTTTTATAATTTTAGAGTTTTGGATTTTAAAATTTTAGATTTCAATAATAAGAATTTAAATGTTGAAAATTTTAAAATTTATGATTTAGAGTTTTAGGAATTAAATTTGGATTCAGATTCAATATTTAATTTTTTTGATCAATTTAAAACCATAATATTTTTAGGTGGCATTTTAATTTGACTCTCTTTTTTAGGTTTTTTTTTTCTTAATTTTATCAAAGGTATTTACTTTTACATTCCTTCTTAATTTTGGATATATATTTACTTATTAGTAATTTACATATTTCAGTACTTTAGAATCCATAATTAAACCACACATTGCATATTATACTCTTATATTACTTTATGAGTTGTGTTATATTGATGGATATTATCTTTGATTTTTATAAAGTTTTTTTTTCCTCTTAGAAAAATGTTTTTTCCCTTATTTGTGTCATATCTAATATTCTAGATTTATTTTGGTATATTTTTAATTATTTTCAATAAAATTTAAATTAGTTCTAATTTAGAGATGCACTCCTTAATATTAATATTTTGGTAGTAATATTCCAATTTAATATTTTAGTTCAGAGAAGATTTGCAATTATTTAAGCAACTTAACTTTTACACTTTTTTTTTGCTTTAGGATTTGAAAATCTCTCTTAAAGGTGTGTTGGTTTGGAGGAAGGGGAGTGATGGATTCATCAACCAATCAAATCGTAATATTTGAAAATGTTATAATTTGATTGGTTATAAAATACATTTTTTTTTTTGCTAACAATTTAAGTAACTTAATAATAATTTTTTTTCTGATGGAAGAAAGAGATCTAGAATTCAAATCAAATGGCATGTAGGTGGGGTGAGTTAAGGGATGAAAATGAGTTACCTCCCATTGTGCACTGAGAGGATTGCCTTAAAGACTAAAAAAAAAAAAAAAAACCTCATTTGTTCTCTTTCATCTATTTCCTTCAAATTACTATTTTAATGTGACAATTTCTCATTTCCTCTCATTGGGACCCTATTTAATGTACCATTAGGAATATAATAATTTTTTTTTATAAATTATTGGAAATTACGTTCAATCCACACTTTAACAAATTTTAATGTATTTACCTAATTCATCATTCATTTTAATGACAAAACTCAATATTCATCATGCAATTCAAGTTTAACTTAACCACTCAATACATTTTCCATTTAATATTGTAACAAAAAAATTATATGGTAAATTTTTATAAATTACTCTAAATTAAGATGAGGGAAGATTTTTTTTTCTCCTTCAAAAAATATCATGGGGAGGGGGATTGTGTGGGGCCTTACTACTATTGCTAATATCTCCATATTAACAATTAAAATGTTCATACTTATTGAGAATTTGGAGCAAAATAATCTATGTTGTGAATATTGAAAATGCTATTGTTTCTTTTTTGAGTTGATTAAGAGTTAACATTTATGCCTTTTTTCTTTTGAGGGAGAGGAGAGGTTGAGAAGCTCCTCTATTTGGATAATAAAAATTTTGAGGGGAAATGACGGGAGGTGATCCTGCATTTTAGTCTAACTAAACAAAGGGAGAGGACTTTGTTTCCCTTAAACCAAGCATGAGGGAAATGCATGGATGATTCTCCCATTTCAAAATTCTTTGGATTGCTTTGTTTTTATTCATTATTTGGGAAATTTAATAACAAAAGAATGACATGCTTTATGAGAATTTTTATTTCAAGATTTTAAATTACTTTCTTTTATTATTTATAAAATTATTGAATTTTAGTCAATTTTTTCTATTCAGTCTGATTTATCTTATAAGCAACTTGATATGCTTTGCTGGTATAAACCTCCTCTATATTTTATAAAAACATTAATATTGAGGGGATTGCCTTTTTTACACCTATTGGCAGAGGGGAGATTTTCAAAGATTATAATGACGATTAGATTATGAGATTTACCAAGAATATAGGCATTACTAATAGAGTAAATGTTAAGCTTTAAAATATAAAAGATAACCTTCAACTTTATTGTTGTCAATGGGTTTTCTAAAATTAATATCGAGTTTGACTCTTTTTATACTCTTTGATTATTGTTTGCCAATATCTTTAACATTTTAAATTTCTAAGAACTCATGAAGAATTTTATTCTAACTCAACACTATAACATGTGTCAATAGAGATAGCCATATGTGTACTAACCAACTTCCAAAGAAGGGAACATCACTTTGCTTAACTTTTGTTGTTTTTGATAAATGTCCATCTCTTGTGGTTACATTTTATTTTGCTTATGTAGTGGGGGTTCACTTCCTCAAACTACCCTAATCAACTCTCTTTTATTGTACTAATATAATTTTGTCATTTTTTCTCAAAAAGAAGAAAAAAGAAAGTAATAACTTTTTTTTCTTCAAGACATTAGTATTCCTCATTTCTATTTCAAATGTTTAATTAATAGTATGTTCGCATTGAGAGGAGAGGAGAGGGGAAGACTTTTTAACCAATCAAATTATAACATTTTTTTAAATGTTATAATTTGATTGGTTAACAAGTCTTCCCCTCTCCTCTTGAAACCATCTAGTTTGAAATATGTCATTAATCTAACAGCTTTTGTGGCCAAAGTGTATAGGCCCTTAAAAGTTTAAATTCAAGTTATTAATAGTGGTTGGTTTCTACAAATATATACCAGGATTACTCACAAGTCCTTATCGATATTAGATTCGGAGCGTTACAACTCTATTTCCCAAACGTATTATAAGTTGTTTCTTTTCTTTATTTTCGATATTATAAAAATATTCCTATTTATATAAAAATGTAAATGATGCTCTAAATTAATACATGAAAATAAACAAAAGTTTAGATAAAAAGTTTTTTTTTTCATAATTTTTTTATTAAAAAACATTGATATATATTAAAAAATTACACAGATATATTTAACATATAATTTTTATTTATATTTAATTTTTAAAATTAAATAAATAATATCCTATATAAAAATTAAAATTTATAAAAATTAAAAATATAACCTATTTCATTGTATGTCCCTGTGCGAAGGCACCGATACTATCTTGTTAAATGAAAGACTGAACATCAAAAAAATTTAATTGACAAGATTCAATTTATTCTTCCAATCGATTCAAGATTTCAACAAGTAGCTAGTAATACATGCATACATGTTAGAATAACATCAAAACATATAGTTTAAGATGTTATTGTATTTTAACAATTAATTAAAAAAGTTTATTTTGTAATCTAATATATATATTTTTTTTGAACAGCAAAAGTGATATTTATTGAAACAAAGACGGAGTACAAGGGTGCCCCAAACCCATAAACAACACCACTTGAAAGGAATAGATTACATAGTCAAATGTCCCTTCCATTTTGTAATCTAATATGGAACTGTAAAACAATGAATTTTTAAAATTTTTACTATGATAACCTAATTTTGATTAAATAAAATTATTTAAATATATTCTCAAACGCTACATTTCTAAATCTTTATTAATTTTTCAAATGATGAAGTTTTTCAAGATTGAATACAAAATACAAGCTTAGATGACTATGAGTTTAGGCATTTATTAATTTATAATTTTTACAAGTTAATGAATCATCATTTTTAAAATTTGGGAATTAATTTGGTATAACTAAAAATAAAGCTCTAGTTATGTAATCAAAAAGTCGGAAAGCGTACTAAATCGAGGACTAGAAAGTGTACTAAATCTAGGACTAAGTAGCATATGAAAAGACACTGAGAGGCATAATAGTCTCGTGACGTGAAAAGTTGAGGACTATATTGCAAATAATAAAGGACACCGCACGCTGCACTTCTTTTTTAACAAAAAAACTTTGTTTAAAACGTTGTCGTTTTCTCTGCCAAAGGCAATAGGTATTGAAGGGTTAATTAAAAGGGGGTTAGGGTTTTTAAAAAATCAACTGCAATTTTCCTTTTTTTTTTTTATGGTTCCAAATACTTTTCGTTTGTGTGGTGGGGCATGGGAGAGGAGACAACTGGTTTATATAAATATAGAATATTGGAGTATCTAAATATTTAAATATAATACAATTTATAATGAAAAATGATTTGAATATACTGTTCAGAACCCACATGAAAATTGATCTTATCTAGTGCTAGTGTCTGAATATTTCCCTTTACAACCTTAACATGTCTTTAAACCACTAGACATAATTTGGTTTGGCACATGATTTATGTTTTCACAACTCACAAGATCAATTATGTTCACAAACATATCAAAATTATATATGCATGCTTTTATAATTGTTTGGCAAAGACCGATCCAATGCCTTCAATAACTTGAAATGCAAAAAGGATATTAATAGTACTAATGGGGAAAGTGAGAGAGAAATGAAGATGTATAAAAAAAACATTTGATATACTAACCAACCGATGTCAAATTCTCTTAACCAAGAAACAAAGCAAAGACTAAAACAAACAACATGCATGCAGCAGCTAAACCCTAGGCAGAAAACAAAGACTGTTTCACAACATTTTCTTTGTTCTGCTTTTGCTAGCTAGTTAAGATTAAGGACAATTAAGGAACATAAAGAGGGAACTTATGAAGCCGATCGAGGTGGCAAACCTTATTGATGATAGATGTGAAGATACACTCACAATAGAGGTGGACAGACAAAACCAGGAGGAGGGGTCATCCCACAAGTTATCAAAGCTTGAAGAGCAAGAGGAATGAAAATGTTAAGGTTAAGAAGCTTGAGCCTTATAGTAGTGCAGAGACAAATCGCTGCTTCAAGCTCTAGCAAACCCTTCAGAACCGGGCAACAAACATTCTCCACTGGATCCCCCAGTCCAACATGGACCAAGCCTCCAAGCACGTCAACGCAAAGCCCTAGCTTGAGTGCATTTATCGGACAAGTTGGTTGAGTAGTTGGAGGAGCTGGAACACCACCAGGATCAGGGCTACCGGTATAAGGTGGGTAAGGAGAAGGTGGCGGAAGTACCACAACCGGTGGGTTTGTTATTGGAGGGTTGATAATGGGAGGTGTAATTATCACAGGGGGGTTTGTAACAGGAGGTGGAATGATGATTGGAGGGACAATAACCGGTGGCTTTTTAGATGGTGGGTGCCCTCCGTGGTGTGGTGGAGGCTTGGTGAATGGAGGATGAGGGTGAGGATGAGTGGGACGCTTAGGCGGGGCGGGATGGTGACGTGGCGGTGGATGCGGCTGCATACAATGACCGCAAGCATAAATTGGCGGCAATGAAACCACCATGAAAATCATGAAGATGAAAGACATAGCCATAACCTTTGAAGCCATGACTGAGCTAGGGTTCCAAGACTACACCATAAAAAAGGTGATCTCTCCTTTCAGTGCATAAGAATTTATATATAGATGAAGTTGATGTGCAACCCGTGACTCTGTTTCACTTTCTGGTCCATTAACAAGAAAGGATATGGTGAATTTCAAGAGATTTCGCTGTGAAATAAATTGGGGATTTTGGAGGGTTGTTGGTGAATTGCAAACTTCGATGCCCTCTCCGTGACTTTGGCTCAGTACAATCCGTGAATTCTTCAGTTTTTACAGATTCCCATGTCGTCTTCTTGTGTTTGTTTGTATTCTCTATATTTTCTAACTCTTCCTTTCTTCATAATTTCTAGGGGCTTCCTTCTTTGAAAAGAAGGATTAATTGTGCATGGTTTTGCGATCGATTACTGAAGTTCACAGGCACAAGGCCTCATCTATGGTACATCCAACCTATCATTTGCGTTGCCATGTTTCAAGTAGAAATGGTAGAAAATATATTAAAAAATTATTTTACAGTTTCAATTGTATACAAATTATAAAACAATTATTCTTAAATTAACAAATGATCACCTAATATTAAGTCTTCCTTTTGCATTTAAGAAATCATGTTTTGCAGCCAACATGAGATCCAAAATATATAATACACCCTCGTACTCATACTCCCCTATCTATCAATACAAATCTTTTCTTTGCTAATTAAAAAAAAGTGGTCCATATTTAGGATTAAAAAGTTGTGGATGAAATTCTATAGAGTTTCATGATCTTCTATTATTCAACTTCAAGATCACAACGAGACAATGTAAAAACACAAATTATGATGTATAATAACAAATTAATTCCTCATTGTAAAATGAATTAAGGGACAGAAAAATTTTCAGATTTATATAGTTGACAACTTGACATTGAAGGTCTTTGAAAGCTTAGTTCAAGACATTAGACACCGTACTGTGTTGTTTCCATGTACCTTCGTTTGGTGCCGCTTATATCTTTTTAATAATATTTATTTGTCGATAACAAAAAAAAGGTGGGGGGCATAAGACACCAATAGAAAGAGTTGAAATAATGATAAAGGTAATAATGAGCGGTTACTTTCAAAGAAAAAGACATTATACCATCGTTGTATGCACACAAAACCATCTAATGATGAAGATGGTTATCATTTTGATTTGAAGCTGTACAAGTCCTTGATTCTATGACATTGGCTCAGAGCAAAATGGTTGGTTTTTATTTTTTTTGAAGATGGAGAATTATAAAGAAAGGGAGGATTTCTTAAAAAATCAGTGAGAGTTAAATTTTTTATTAATTAAATTTAAATATTAAAATTTGAAACTGAATTATTGGTTAAAAGGTCGGATTCCAGCAACATGGTTGGTTGGACCATATGTATTCTGACATTATTAATGTGGTCTTTTTCTTTTCTTTTCTTTTCTTTGTTTTTGGCTAACTATCAATATGCTATTTAAAATGACACTTTTCGTTAATTTTTTTTCATATTTTCATTTTTATTGGAAAATTTTCCATAATTTGAATATATACTTGATAAGCTGTCAATGTAGTGGCAACAGTTACTTCCGTGAAGCTTTAGTTAGATTATTAGTTTTTTAAAAGCATAAATATATTGCAATTCTTAATTTTCACTAGAAATAAGGTACAATTAAAGGACTGTAAGGAAGCTGGGAAACAAGATGTCTGCCCTTACATCCAAACAACAAAGACAGCACATATGAAAGAAAAGAAACAGAAACCGTAAGGAAATTGACAAGACATTAGCAAGCACTATATATTAGAAGACCTTTTGGTAATAATTTTATGCGCACTGGAAGCCAGTGGGGACATTCTTTCCACAATAGTTAAGCAGCAAGCTCAGTGAAACTGGGACATTCAGATTATTGCCTAAGATATTGACCTTAATGGCAGTGCAAAGGCAAACAGCGGCTTCAAGGTCAGCTAAATCCTCGAGGAGGCTGCAGCAAGGTGTCTTTGCTGGGGTTCCCACAACAACATGCACCAAATCATTTAGAAGGTTAGCACAGACACCCAATTTTAGGGTATCCTTAGGGCAAGTGCCCTTTTTGTGGTGGTGGTGGTGATGGTGGTGGCTAAGGCTCTTGGGAGGTGGAGGACAGGCCACATTGGTGGAGCTGACAAGGGTGAAGAAGAGGAGGTTGAGGGAGAGAAGAAGGGCACCAGATGCTACAGCCTTTGAAGCCATTTTAGAAACACACCAACTAAAGAAAACTTCAAACTTGGAGTGATGAAGAAGTTTATGCGGGGTCAGGGTTTTTATAGATGAAGATTGCTGGGGAATGGCTAGTAGAGACCCATGATCATGTGAGCACATTGGGTTGGATACCAGACACAGCCTGGCAATGGTAGAGGATAAGCATAAAAAACTCAATGAAATTTGGAGTCTTTCTCTGGTGTTTTAACTTTTATTTGTGACAAAGATCTGTTGTTGGTGTATAATTGGCAAAGATTTATTGTTTCCATAACGTGCATGATTGATTACGTTGGGGATTTGTGCACTAAAAAGATTTGATGCAAGAAGGAACTGAAGGTTTCTAGACATATATACAGTATAGATAGTTAATTAGTTTTTGGCGTTTTTGCTACTTCGTTTCGTTGAGGTGAAAAATGAAAGGAAGCACTATAATTTGGGACGGTGCATCTGCAGGGATCGAGGGAATTTGGGTGGAGCACATGGGGAGATAGAAACATATATAGGACAAAGATCCAAATTCTACATATAACCAAATGACCCCACCGATGAAGATGGCCATAAAAGGCGTGGGTTTTCTTTCTTGGATCCTCTGCAGCTGACTTAGCCC